GTGGATCCATGGTAACGTAGTTGGTGCAGACTACGATTGATTATCTCGATGAGTTGTGATTTACCTCGTGAGCTTTGTTTGAGGGAGGAATTATTGGAGCAAACAAGTCCCACATCGGTTGTGGGAAGAAAATAATTCCACCATATAATTCAAGTGAGTTACTTTACCCATTACCAATTGATTTTGTGATGGAACCTCACTTGGGCCTTATGGAGTGGGCTTGGGCCTTGGGTAATTGCTTTCAATAATTCCCTAACAGTAACATCCAGAAATTTTAAGATTATTTAAAGAAAAAAGTTGTTTTGATCGAGATACCTTTTAATAATTTTGAAAAATTGAGGGACTAAAGTGAAATAGTATTAAACTCAATTTTATTTTGATTAAATAATTTGATTTTGATAGAGCGAGTATAAGTATGTCAATATTGGACTCATTGTGTAGATTGTAATTAATTAGGAGTCTTTGATTTAAGAAAAAGTTGTTTTGTATATGATCATATTAGGTTAAGTCCGATTAAAAGAACATAAGGTTTAATGGAATTTGAAATATAATCTAAAACCTGCTTTTCTCCTCTTTAGCCTAGCCATTTGTTTGAGGATAAATGTTAATTGAAATTTTAATTTGATTTTGATAATAATTATGAGTTTGATTAGGATAAATGTTAACTGAAAATTTAATTTAATTTTGATAATGGTAATTTTTGTGTGATTTGAATAGAGTTTAATTGTAATCTTAATTTGATAAAATTTAATAGTAATCATAATTTTATTATTTAAAACCAATTTGTATATAAATTCGTTCTATTACGCAGTTTTTTAATTCTAGTTGCACACAAATTCAGATTCTATCTGGTAGCAATTAAAATGGCCCAAAAAATTCATTTTCCTATCGTTGCATATCACTTCAACCGCAAACCTTGACCGGCCATCTCACATGCAGGCCTCACTAACGGTCAGAATTTTGATTACAATTCGGCCAAAATCAGCACTAGACTGGCCCTAAATTGAGAATTTCAACTATAAATACTGTAAGAATTCTCATTATTTCACTACAGAAAATAAAGAGATCCATGGAAGAGAGAGAGAGAGAATGAGAGGAAAAAGTATAGAAAAATAATATGAGAATTTTTACATGCGAGATTTTATTTTTTCAACCTTTTAAAATCAAGGTAAGATATTTATGTGCAAGTCGTTTGTTTTTGCATACCTTTATGTATTCAATCATTTATGCATGAATTATCAGTGGACCTTCGACTTCTTTATAAAGAGATATGAAATCCTTCGAAAATTTAAAATGGCCTAAGATATGTTATCGTTTGGTCACCGATATACTTCATAAGAGAAGTGTAGTATTAAATGTTTAATTGATTGTTATATAGTTGTGTATGAAAATTGCACGTATCGTATTGAGTGCTTTTAAATACTCACGCTTACAATAATTTTACAGATTGGTTTGAATCGATTGGATTCGTGGCAAGATGGTGATGCGGGCTGCTAGAGAATTTGAAGAAATAAAACTATTAGGTTTTCTCTCTTTAATTGATTAATTAGTTTCATATATGGTCAAATACATGTTTATTTTAAATAGTAATTGAGTACTCTTATTTCAAACAATAAATTTTTAATGTTTAGTTTAAATTCATAGATAACCCATACTTTTATTGAATAAATTATTTTTATCGTTCCGCATTTAGTGTAAAGAAAAATGAGTTTTTGGTAACATTCCAAAATTCATAAAAGCTTGGGGTGTTACACATACCAAAGTCATGGTATATGTGACGCATACAATGACAGGGTGTGTCACAGTAGGTCTAAACTCAACTCTTCTTACGATTAAAATCATATTTTATAGAGATGGAAAAACAATAATATAAATGACAATTGTTACATGTTTTGCCTAAAACCCAATCAATAAAGAGCTTTTGAACAACAATATAACAAGTTGCCTAAAGTTAGTAGTGTTTTACAAATTTTATTTTCTTTGAACTCGAATTAAAAATTTCTCTAATGGAAAGTGATTTTTTTTTAACAAACCAAGAGAGGCGAGTGTTTGGGGGTATCCATAACAATAAATCTTGTCTTCACATAAATTTTTTTCTAAGATATCAAATGTTCTTGTTCTGGAATTGCAGGATAACATTAGATGTTGCAATTTGATTTTAGGGCACGAACTGTGTAATTTCCTTTATTGCAAAATTGAAATTCTTTTGATTTGTTACACCCTTGTTTGATCCTCATCATTTTC